GGGAAAACCCCGTCTTTCGAGGGGGTTTTCCTTCAGAACCCCCACCAGGCAGGGCGAGGAGTCGGGGCTTAGCCTGTGGGCTCCAGGGGTACTCGAGATTGGGGCCAGGAGAGGGAGAGGGCAGTCGGGGGCTGCTTACGTCCCACGCCGACAGTGGGGCTGCCGGGGCTCGGGTGCTCGCCTGGGGTGGGCACGGCGCTCCCCTCGCCACGCCTCGCCCCCCGCGCAGCCCCTAGTTATTAACAGTACTGTTCCTGCTGATACTGATGGTAAATTTAAAAGGCCTCTGCAAACGGAGGCCGGCGGCAGGGCTGGAGGGGACAGAGGGCACGGGGAAGAGGATTTTCAGGGACGGTGTGCTGGCGGCCAGCCCCCAGCAGGGCGGTGGGCCCGGGTAGGAGGCTGCTTGCTGCTCGGCGCTGCTGAGGAGCCGGCGGCTCCCGGTGCAATGAGCCGCACACGGCACACGGGTGTCCGAGGGTCTGGGGTCAGGTATCTCCGACCCCAAGGGTATCTCGGACCCTCCTAAACTTTCACTGCTGCAGATATACCGACGGCCTTTGCAATTCCTGGGCTGGACCTTTATCCGGCCGTATTCTCTCAAAGCTTTACCGAGAAATGTTGGCGTCGGTACCGGGAGGGTGCCCACGGTTGGGACTGCGACATCCGTCACGACTTATGCGCAATTTTCCCGCCAGGATGGTATCATTCTAAGGCTTCTTCCCTCTGTAATGCACATGACGACACAAATGATTTGCCATACAGCTATTTGGTGCAAAGTACATCAACCAGACTGTGGTTTCTGTGGGGTTGTGCAAGTTTTGTTAAACAGAGTGAAAATAAGCCAAGAGTGATATTGGTCAACACATTTCTGGATTGTTTATACCTCCTGTTTATACCTTATGTTTATACCTCATATATATTATACTCCAAAGCACAAAAAAAGTACTGAGTTGTTAATGACACCGAGTTAAACTAGTAAGAGTTATAATATATTTAAAACCAGATTTTACTAATATGAAAATAACTATGTCATAAAAAGAAAAAAAAAGGTATTTTAAGTATCATATAAAATGTTCAAAATTGTCTTCAGTTTCTACCGATTATAACTTTATATAAAGTTATTAATATAACTTAAATAGCTAAGGCAGACCACGTTGGAATTCCTATTATTTACATTACCCAAATAAAATCTTTCTAATAATGCTATTCTTTCCAATGAATGCAGAAACATTTTCGTTTTAATTTACTTCTTTTCAAAACAAAGACTAAAACGTATTATGGCTGACTTCATTTCACAATGAGAAAAGTTGGCGTTATCCTTGCTTTAATGTGCCACTACTTGAAGCAGATAAAAACGAAGAAAGACGCTCCTGATTTTGCGTGGGGATTTTTTTTTATTTTTATTTTTATTTTTTTTTTTTTTGGCGGTAGGAATTCGTGAAAATTGCTTTCGTC